AGTTTGAGAAATACTAACATGGAACCGAGTTTGAAAGATGATAGCAGCGTGAATCAATTTTATCTTGTTTGACGCCTCAAAAGGACCGCGCTGGTTGCACACAGCCGACTCTGGAAGCTTTCCTAGACAAATGTCACTCACACACGCCCACCCTAAGAATCCCACTCCTCTCCGTTACTATAAATCCAATTATCCATTTTAGAAAAGAGGAAACTGAGGCCCAAGAAGTTACAGCCACGCAGCCAGTAGGTGGCGAAACTGGCTTTCTATTAAACCCAAGTCCGGTGCCTTCTTTTCTCTCTAAGAAATAATTGTCCTAAGCTCTGTTGGCTGACCTCCCCAGGAGGTCCCAGAATTTCAGGAAATGCAAACAAACTTCTCAGAAATTCAAGTTGAGTCGGCACAAGTACCTATACCAGGGCTCCTGCCTAACTCTTCCTGGTGGGTGGGAAACCTTGTGAGGAGGGATGCCCTCGCGAGGCTGCTGGGTGGGTTCGGGAAGACAGAGTGTCCAGATTCCTAGGACACTGCAAACCGAACCATGGAACAGCGGTGTTAACTAACACGGATTCTGAGGCCTCAGCTCAGAGTTCTTAGACACCAATTTGGAACAGGTGTCACAACCCTAAACGCTCGGCTCTTTAGACTCTTTAGAGCGGGAGAGCTTTGGAAGCGCTTCTGACCTCTGACTATTTCCTGAGAAGAAAATAAAGAGCAAAGAAAGAAAATGACGCCTCCAGGGTCATCCTGCAGGTGGCCTCGAGGGTTGCCACTGGGAGCTACATGTCTGGCTCTGGGGCCAGTTTCTCCCACTTTACATTCACTCCGGACATGTGGTGGGAAAGGATATGCCCGGGAGTCTCAGGGGTCAGGCTGGAGGCAGAGTAGAGTGGCCATGGTGACTCCTGGCAAGATCCCAAATAAGACTAACCCAAGCGATTTCCACATGTCAAATGTCTGAGTAAAATAAGGGTCCTATGAAAATCAAAATCCGGTCTGGACCTTTTGCCTTGATGCTAACCCTCAATGTTGCCCTTGCCCTGCGGGTACCCTGCTCTCCGTTACACTGTGTGTGGAGGGGCTCAGAAGCCTGGAGTAAGCCCATCGTAAGGATCCGGTCTGGACCTTTTGCCTTGATCCTAACCCTCAATGTTGCCCTTGCCCTGCGGGTACCCTGCTCTCCATTACACTGTGTGTGGAGGGGCTCAGAAGCCTGGAGTAAGCCCATCGTAAGGCTTGGGGAGGCTGTAAGACCCGAGACTGAAGGCTAGAGTCGTAGAAGAGAGAAAACTGAATACATAGCCGTTCCTGGACGGCCACATCTTTTTCTGCAGTTTTAAAAAACTACCATCCATACAGCCAGTTCATTGTAATAAAGCCCGTCTTGGGACTCCGGATCACACCAAAGCGTCACCGATAACTGCCTAAAAGGTAAACCAAATACGACTGAGATACAGACACTAAGTGACTGCCGGTGGCTAGATTGTGTAGTTGTTTGTGGGCGGCGTGGGGTGGGGGTAGGGTGGAGATTACACTGGGTAACTTAAATCCAACCGTTTGTTGCTGGGGCAGTTACAAGAGACGATTTTCTGGAACTGGGTCTGCAGACAGCTGGAGAATGCACACCCCGCCCCGGGTACTGCTGCTCCAGCCACTACAAGCCTACACAACTAGCCTGAATTAAATCAACCTTGGGAGGCTGGTAGAGCGAACTGGCCCCACCACAACCGCCCAGGTTGTGTGGCGAAGCCGGCCACCACTCTTGCAAATCCCGGAGGATTCTGATTGGTGGCGGCTACCCGCCCTCCTGGGTCCAGATCGTCGGGAGCGTGGCTCCTGGTCAGTTCTCTTGGCCGCTTGGGCCAGCTGGAGCCCCGGTGGTGGGCGACATTCTCTTCCCTTGCCAAACCCACACTGAAAGCGACAGCGTGTGGTCCCCGTCGCAGCGCCCGGCCTTCGCTGCTCTGTCTGAATGATTAAAGTTGCATAGAGCTGGCCGCCTATCCGGGTTGGCTGGCCCAAGCAGGAGACATAGACCACCCATCTCGCGCGTCCCTTGGCGACTAACTCTAGGTGGCGGCGGCGGGTTGCCCAGCTCTACCGAGAGCCTTGCAGCTGTAGGGTTCAGGGTCCACGTTGCAGGCTGGGTTTGCCCCTCACGTACTGAAAGGGCTCTTTGCCCCACCCCCATTGGGTTCCCGGACGTTTCGCAGGCTGCTTGTCCAGGGGAAGAAACGTCCTTGACTGATTCCAGAAAAGAGACTCCGAGGATCCCGGATCCCGCGGAAGAGATGCCCTAGCGAAGCATCAACAAAAGATGTTTGCCTGAACAGCCTTTAAGCGCCAGGCGTGTAGAGCTGCCCGCGGAGGCGTCACAAGGGTGGGTAGACCCCAACCTGCTCGGTTGGACAGGAGTAAGAGTGACCCACCTCCTGCCGGTTTGTCTGTCACTGTAACCGTGGGAGCCCTGGGAATTCCTCTGAGACTTCTCCGAGTCACTCTGCTGCTGGGCTCGTAAACTGTCTCAGCTAATGAAAAACCTCGCAGAAATTCCTTTGGCTCGAGAAAAGTTCCTGACTTGAAGTGGCAGTTGAGGGCGTCTTCTTGCTTCTTAGGCCAGGCGAGAAGGCTACCACCTCTCTCCTGCCGCCGCCCCCACCACCCTCATAGTCTCACACACTTGATCTTACTACCTATGGGATAGGATAGGTCCCGTCCTAAGAGGACAAACTGACCAAACAGCAGGAGCTAGAAAGTTTCGCTGAGGGCTAAAAATGGAGAAAGGAATCGGCCCTGCTCGCCTCACTCCATCGTCTCTGCCAAGAGACCAAATAGGGACATACACCCCCATTCTACCACTTACCAAAATCCTTGAACCTATAGCCAAGATTACAGGATAAAGCCTGTCTACCTACTTAGCCAAAGACTTCTGCCTCTGGGTTTATGCTTAGGAAAGAAATTCAAATCTACGGGAGCCGTCGCCTTCAACTGCTCTTTTCAAGTGAGGAAACCGGAAAGAACCCTTAAATTTCCAACTTCAGAAAAAAAAAAAAATACTGAACCTGGGGCCCAGAGACAGGAATAACGAGGATGCTTGTTTCTAAATTCTAAATTCTGCTTTCTCTACCAGCCTGAGAGCAAACATGACCCAAACCAGAACAAGACTTCAGGTTCTTTGAACAGGCGTTGAGATTTCCGTGATGGCTGTGGGGATGAGTGCAACAACCAAGCAGGGGAACCTTTACCCGTGGCTCAGCCACTGTTTCCTTACAGGTCACACGAAGGTTTGATGATATCTTGGCTTCCTGTGTAATTTCAATGATAGTCCTCACGCTGGTAAAGAGAATCGCCACACAACCAGGTGATGAGACCCCTCAGCTCCCAATTCCTCTTTTTTTTCCCCTGCTTGATATCGCCACCCCCTAAAAAACTTTATGCAGTCTGACCACGCATCCCCCCCCTCCGCCGCCGCCGCAAGCTCCTTGCATCCTAGCTCCCTGCCTATTGTCCTTCAGGCCTCTAAGCCAAGTTTCTGGAGTGCAAAGAGCAATCCGTGCCTCCCTGAACCTAGTGCGTATACCGGGCCAATAAGTAGGGTAGGCCGTGCCTAATAAAGTCAGGATGTAAACGCCCCAGCTTTTCTTTCTATTGACTTCCACCGACAACCCTCTGGGCATCTTTATTTCTCCAAGAGAAGAGGGGTTGAAGACAATGATGCTCCAAACTGGAGACCCAGTGGCTAGCACAGGAAACTAGAAGACAGTGGATCAGAAGACCTGGTCAGGGGTGAGAAAGCAGCGTCCTGCCCCCTTGCTATGGGCCTTAGACCATGTGGAGCCCAACAACAGGGACTGTCCCTAGACAGCGACCCATTTTCAGTGGCCAAACTGCGCTCCCTAGACAGCGGGAATGCGGCCTGGACTGGCAAATGGATAGTAAAATGCGAAGGGTCGGATCCCCAGTGGAAATGGATAAGGGGCGGGACGATACACAGTGCCTTCTTGCCCGTTCTTCAGGAAAAGACTAGGCTGTGGAGGCGGCGAGTCCTCAGCCTCGGTCATGTGATAGTCTGGAAGCGCAAGCTGCAGGGGTCTCGGCGTCTCGGGGACCATTACAAAACGCAGCCAGGAGAGCGCGTCGCTGCCACAACAGCGTTTCTTCTCAAAACCCGCGGGGCAGAGCGGCTGCAGCTGCAGCGCAGACGGCTGTGCCGCGAGCCGGGTCCTGGCCTGTCTTCGCCGACGCCCCCTGCAGCCTGAGGCTAGCTGCGGGAGTCCTGAGCACCCTCCCCTCCGTAGAGTCTGCAGGAGCTTCTGCTGCAGACACCACCAAACTTTTTTTCCTCTGAGCCACCGCCTGGGGCTCGATGCCTCTTCCATCCTCAGTTCTGCTGCACATCCCCTGAGAAAGAGGGCACAGGCTGATAGAAGAGTGTTCTCTCTCCCCTTATCCTGCCACTTCCCTCTTACAAGATCTGAACTCCGGCGCCGGACGGACCCGGAACCACCAGGTCAGCTAGCTTCCAAGGAGTTGAAAAGTGGGGTTACCAGCGGCCTTGGGACAGCTAGCACGGATGCGGTTTTAAAGAGCTGGAGTCTCCACTGCCCAATCGGTTTGACGAGAGCTGCCCTTGCACCGAGAAAGGGCAAAGAGGCCAAAAAGAAATTTATTCAACAGCCTTTCGCTCCAGACTGGTCACCCGAGTCAGAAAACCAAGGTAAAGCTGACGAGCCTCTCCGGCTACTGTGCGGGCCTGTCTGCGACCAAAAGTTGTGAGCACCATCGAGTTGCATTGGCCCTAAAAGCCAGCCGTGGGGACCCCTGAAGTTTCCAGAAGGAGGAGGACAGAAGCAAGGGGGTCCTAGGGGCTGAGAAGGTTCGGGATCCTGGCTGTACAAGTGGAGAGAGAGAGTTAGAGGGGACGTTTAGGCAGGGGATCGGGCTTCTGAGAGGCGTTGAGGCCCACTGTGGGCCAGTAGGAGGTGGAGGAGCCTAGGAAGATGCCACGGCCGGGGAAGAGCTCCTACAGCGACCAAAAGCCGCCGTACTCGTACATCTCACTGACAGCCATGGCCATCCAGCACTCGGCTGAGAAGATGCTACCTCTGAGCGACATCTACAAGTTCATCATGGAGCGCTTCCCGTACTACCGCGAGCACACGCAGCGCTGGCAGAACAGCCTGCGCCACAACCTCTCCTTCAACGACTGCTTCATCAAGATCCCTCGGAGGCCGGACCAGCCGGGGAAGGGCAGCTTCTGGGCGCTGCATCCCAGCTGC